TTTTGTCAGTAATCTGATCAACGCATTTACATGCACTTGAGTAATCAGATAATGTAAAACTCTGGGTCTGCATGAGTCAGGCAGAGTAATCAGATTTCTGCTTTGCAACCAGCAAATAAACTCACAGAAGAAGACATGACGTAAACATAACGTAAAACTCAAACTTTATGCTGTGGCTTTAAAAAAAAAAAAACATTGCGTCACTTTAACTGAAAATATGAACATACATCATCTAGAAGATGAAGAATATTTAAAGCTCTTATTTCATCAAGCACGTGTTTGGTTTCATTGTCACTCCAAAAGTGTTTCACTGCGTCTAGAGGCAACACCACTTTTTTTTCCGGTCTGTTTTTGCACATGTGCAGACTGAGAAATCTGAAAGAAATCAAAGTAAGAGTTTACATGCACTGCGAAATCTGATTACTGGTCCACTGTAGATGCTTTGTAAATGCTCAGTATATCTTATCTTATATAAGTAACATTCGACTAAATATCTATTAAACGTAACTGAACTTGAAGTTGCATGTGAAAGATTATATTAAATCTGTCCCTAAACCTAAACCTAAACCTAACCCTAACCTCAAGGGAAAACCTACACCTACTCCTAAACCTAACCCTTACGATAATGTTGTTGATAGTCAACTGAACATCACCAGAAAGCTTGTTAATGACTTAATTATCTGTAGATCATCTATATGGGACCATCCAAATAAAGTGTGACCCAAACCTGCAACAGCAAAAAACAGCCACTGAAATACTTATACTATTAAAAAAAATAGGCTTTATATAAAACAATAGGCTAGGTTTTTTGTTTTTTTAACCTGCCTGTTTGCTTGAACTAGACACCTGGCATCTTTTGTTTTTATGGTGCTGTCCCATAGATACACATTATGTTGCAGTGCATGCTGGGAATTGTAGTGCAGCTTATGCTAAAACAGGCAAATATTAATAGAAAATTAAAATAATTTCACAGGCGGAATAGGACTGTGTCACAGGCCTGACTCAGCCCATGGGCCTCGTGTCTGACACATGGGCTCTATAAGATGATATTTGATCTGCAGTCTGTTTGGACATATTCCGAGGAAGAGTGTTGATAGCAGGACTGCATCAGATTCTGAATCTGACTTTGTCCTTAAACAAGCTTTTCATTATGGCAGCTGTGATGGTGGAACAACTAAGCAAACTGAAATTAGACAGAAAATAACAAAATATTATAATAATTTGCAAAAAATGGGCCATGCAATGCTTTACATACTGACTGAAACAAAATGACATTCAGGTCAATCTGGCAAAACTGAAAAGGCTAAGCTGAACCTGATATTGTGACGGTTTATGGCTCTAAACGTAACACAGAGGGTACTACTGTTTTGAGTGGAAGGATTTGCCAACATTAAAGCACATTTGCTGCAACATTCAGGCTTTTTTGCTTTACTTTGTTCTTTATTTTGCAGAATGGTTGTGAATACTCACCCTCATGTGCTATTGCAAATCACATCACAGCTGCAATGATCTATAATCACAGCCATTATGTTCTTCGCGATAATGCACAACATCGAGTGTTATCTTGCATTTTTACAGCGGCTTTAAACATGGCTCAGCCAATCCGATTTCAGAAGTGGATCTGTCCTGTTTTATCATGTTGAACGAGTAGCTTCAGAACAGTAAACAAGTGGTCTCTCTTTGGCAAGGACACACACACACACACACACAGGGTTTAACAGCCTCCCTTCTTCTAAAAGGTCACAAGGCTCTGGGGTCAGAGGTCATGCTACTTAATGTTCCTCTAAAGAAGGCAGACAGAAGGAGGAGGGGTCTCGCTCGCGCTTTGCTTCTCCCTCACATGCACACACACATTCATTCAAAAGTCTGCCATCACTTCCGATCATACTGATTCTTTTTTTCATTTTATGTACAAGTACTTATATAATGTGGACCTAAATATTATAAAATAGACACCAAAATGTGTCTATTTAGATTATTATTTATTTTTTTATTTTATTTATTTATTTTATGCATTTATTATTTATTTAAAAATCAATACATTTAATATACACAGAAATACAGAATACATTAAACACATGTATTATTGTAGTATTTCTATATTTTTATAGAATTTATTTAATTTATAGAATTTACTCTACAACTACGGCAAACACTCCTCCCAGCCAAAACAGCCATTAAGTACAAGATATTCATTTTCAGGAGATATTTCTGAGGAACATATGAGGAAGGAAATGTTAAAGGAAAATAAGTGGAGTTTTCAAAACTGGAGTTCAAAAATTGATCAAAAACACTGAGAAAGGGGAGCTCCCAACAAGTGTGCAACACCTGGACAAACAAAGAAGCTGCTGGTGTTCTCAGAACAATGGACTGACCAACCCAGAGTCCAGACCTCAACATCACTGAATGTGTTTGGGCTTATTTGGATCACAAGAAGCAGAAAATGGAACCAACTTCTAAGACTGAACTTTAGAGGTGTGGAAAAAACATCCCTGCAGATTTGAAGAACTGAAAGCAAGTCTCCTGAAAAGAATGGAAGCTGTAATAAAGGCAAAGAGTGGACACACTAAATACTGAATAATGTGATATTATAAGTGGTTGTTGAGGTTCCCGTGTAATTTCTGTTAAATGCATGTTTTCTATATGTTTTAATGCTTGTTTTAAACAAATGGAGGGTGGTCTCTGACTTTCCCAGAGCACTGCATAAAGAAACATTTAGATTTTATATATATTATATATATTAAACTTACAGCTTTCTCAGTAAGTAATGATTCATCTACAGCTCTGTAGATTATCATATGACATTACAGTTATTTATAGCTTCCTGCAACCAAGTTCACAGCACTGATTCCATACTTTTGAATGGTTGTGTACACACACACACATACACACACACCAAACATGTGACATCCACATGCACTGATACACACATACTCAACCATGCATGCCTGTCCTCTTTTTTAAAGCTGAGTGCTGCTGCTGCTCCTCTTGGCCCACGTCCGCCCTGGATCGGCCCTCTGCTGGCCCACAGCTTTACGAGGCTGTTTCAGGCAGTGACCCAGTGCCAGGCCAGATGCAGTGAAGACCCGTGCCAGCCCTCCAGCCCCGCTGCCTCACAGTCCAACTACTTCCAAGATTGTAAAATTGTGTTTGTTCTCACAGCAGAGACACACATACATTTGCTTTCTCTCATCCTGTTTTTTTTACTGAAGAACTGATTAAAAATCAGCAACACATGTAGGAATCAGCGCAGCTACTTACGTGACATGAGTAACGTGAGTTCCATTCCCTTCACTTGTGGCATATATGTGCATGTGAGTGGCACAATACCACATAAGAACCCCTTTTGTTTCCCTAAAGAACCTTTTAATGTTAAAGAACCATCACTGTCAATGACATGTGAGAGTGTGAAGAACACATATTCTACATTTTTCTTCTGTTTGTATTTCATTTGTCCACTTTTAATGTTTGTGTTTGTTTATGTACCAAAAGCAATCATAATTCTTCAAACATCCTTCGTTTATTTTTACATAAATGATTACATGTTCACTTTCCAGCCTCTCTTTTTCCCTTTTGGCTCACTTTGTAAGTGATTCAACTTTCTGCAGTTGAATAAAGATAAAACAGAGACTATTTTATTTGGGAATAGCAATGAGAGGCGCAGACTAGCTGCCTATCTGGATTCAAGAGCCCTAAAATCTAAAGAACTAGTACGTAACCTTGGTGTACTAATGGACTCTGATCTTAGTTTTAGCAGTTGTGTTAAAGCAGTTATTAAATCAGTATTCTATCACCTTAAGAACATCAACAAGATCAGAGATTGTCTGACTAAAGCAGACCTGGAGAAACTCATCCACAGCTTTATTTCTAACAGGATTGATCACTGTAATGGTCTCCTAACTGGACTCCCAAAAAAACAATCAAACAGCTTCAGCTGATTCAGAATCCTTACACTGGCTACCAGTCTGTTACAGAATAGACTTTAAGAAACTATTACTGGTCTATAAATCACTCAATGGTGCAGGACCAGCATATTTATTTCATATGTTGCAGCGATATGAGCCGAGCAGAACTCTCACATCATCAGGAACTGGTCAGTTAGTACTGCCGACGGTGATGACTAAACATGGAGAAGCAGCGTTTGGCTACTATGCTGCTCTTAAATGGACCCATTGTGAGCATTAGAAGAGCCCCGACTCTGGACACATTTAAACGCAGACTCAAAACGTTCCAATTTGCGCAGCTTTCAGCTCAGTTTAAACACTGTTAGCATTTCTAGCTCCTTTTCCTCTATAATGGCACTTTTTGTCATCCTAATCTAATTTTTAATTTGATTATTTAACTATCCAAATTTCTAGTTTAATTTTTAATTTAATTTTTAAATCTATTGTTTTAATCATGTTTTTAATTTCTATTCTCGTTCACTTTTTTTAACTATTTTCTGACGCTTCATTTGTAAAGCACTGAATGACAGTAATGTATGAAAGGTGCTATATAAATAAACTTGCCTTGCCTTTATATTTAAACACTGTTTTTGTTACTGTGCCTTTAAGACTGATATCTGTAAATGATATCTGTTCTGATTAGCTGTGCCTCATTCAAAAAGCAGTCCAGGCTGAAACACTCCTTATGACTTCAGTGTAAATGGGCGGTGCTAAATAATGAATAATTGAATGTATGTTTGTGACATCACAAATACAATGAATTGACAATAGGCTGTGTTTGCAGCTATGTTTCCTTATTTAGACTGTATGGAGGGGAGTGAATGGCATGTTTAGAAATGTTTACATAGTACATCTTTAAAAAAAAAAAAAAGCGGGGAAAATGATAACAATTTTCTGTGCTAATGGCCCTTTAGAGAACCTCCGCAAAATGTAGTGTGTATGTGCATTATGTCTATATATTACATTTTTTCCTAGAATTGTACATCCATGTATTTAGGACCTGTTTAAAATGTATATAAAACAGTTTCCATGGAAAAAACGACCACCACAGCATCGTAAAGCCATAAGACTTTTATATTTTCATACAAAAATATTGCTTTCATCAACAGTGTCATTATATACATCATTATTAAAGCCAAAGCTTATGTACGTGTTGACTTCGGTTTCATTTCATTGCTTTCTCTGAAAGCAGAGAATCATTCAGTCCTTCACCTGTCAAGTAAAAGCTTCACATTTCCTTGGGAAATTCATAGACTGAGAAATTCACCTTGTTCACTGTGTTACAAGGGGTCATGGACACAGCGGGCACAAGCTTGGATCTCCACTGAAAATAAGACCAAATGGACACAACACACACTGACACTGATTATCACATTTGGTCAACGAAAATCCATTTGCAGGATAATACATTTCGGCTTCGTCTCCATGTTTTACAGTAACTTTCATATATTTCATAGTTGCTCTACAGAACCACCAAAAGTCCTGAATCCTAAGTTGTACCATTTCTTTGTACCATACAAACAAACCCCTTAAACGATTTGGAATCAAAGTGGAAGTTCTATTTTAAAGTTCAGCACAAGAACAAAGACCCTGTTAGACTTGAAAAAAAAGTGCTGAAGACCTAAGAGAAGAAGGGAGGGGAGTACAAGAGAGAGGACGTGCAGATATGGGCTGTACCAGACACACCTGAGATGTGCAGACCGAACCTGATGGGTCATAAAAAAGAAAGGATGTCTTTCTTGACAGGTTCTTGATGTGTGTTTGACCATGATTGAGAAGGTGCAACACTAGGGCTGCACAATACGGACAAAAATGCCACGTTGCAATTTTATTTCTACACATAACCCTGGCAATATTCTTTGCAATACATTAAAGTTTGTGTTTTTTAAAGAAGTAGTTCACACGTTGTGGGAATTCTGGTGTAGTTGGTTAGCCAAGACATGTTTAGCTCCACTGCAAAGGAATAGAAGCAAATTTCCAACAACAAACATCTTGGCTGACTGTCTATATGTGCTTAAATTGTTTAAATTTGGTCAGATAATTGTTACACGTGACACGATTACATTTAAAAATGTTTGTTGATTAACTTCATTTTGGGCATCCAGGTCTAAAATAAACATGTCACACAACTAATTGGGAATCCGGTGGCGTCAACCAGTCCTGACTGCTAGCCTAGCCACTGATCCTCAGGCCCTGGCTGTCAATTCTATTGTTATTCGGCACAAAATGGACACCAGACGGCACATTTTAACCCTTTTAGTCGCAAACAAGAAGCCAAGCTGAGGTAAGGCGTCTAGAGAGCCAGGTAGCTACCTTGCTAATTTTAGCTTTTAGCTTGCCGTCTTCCATTCTTTCATTTGAGTGACCCATTCTCTCCATTATAATGAAAATAACTGACACAATTACACAGTTCCAATAAGATATTTGGCCTCCCAGCAATAACGTTATCCATCTAGCTTCCTTCAGCAATTGCCAGCTAGTGGAAAAAACCTTTCAGCCCCCACCTCCAAAAATCCGCCCTAAAGCAGTTGTATTATTTCAGAAGTTCCCCCAACCTTCAAGTTCCATCACCAGAACGGGGGGTTTCCTACTATTTAAACTGGGAAATCTCGCTCTAGAGACTACTGCACCACTGTGTCCCTTTAATTCATCAACATACCCACAGAATACTCTTAGCAGGGTAAGCCTTCTGTGGTATCAATATTTGAAAGGTACCTAAACAGACATGCAGGTAGAAGTCCAGCCTGAACATTTAGCCCATTTGAAACATTCATGTCCACGTTCAGAACCTCAGAAGAGGAGGTTAAGCTTCAGACAGAAGATACTGATATTGCACTCTGGCGGGGCCTCAATGTGGTCAGCTTCCTCTTAGATCGTTCAGAGGAACGTATGGAGGAAGGAGCGTGAGGATGAGTTGACCACACCTTCCTCAACTCAGTCCCATGAGAGACGATCAGAGGGATGGACAGCGGTCCGGGACCAACCTCTTCATCTCTCTCTCTTTTTTTCTCTCTCCCTCAGCTGCCCAGTTTGATGTATGTTAGCTTGCCTTTAGCCGACGTCATGCTGGACGAGCCCGTCTTGAAGAGCGCAAGCTGGTGTCCTGCAAAAAAGAAGCAGAACAAGAGACGAACTGTCAGAGAGAAGCGTCCACTGCCTGAGAACATTCCTTACAAATGAGACATCAGAGGAAAGAGAAAGACTACAGTGTGGGAGGAAGACGTACGAGTTGAGACACAAGGGAAAGATGTGGAGGGGTCGACAGAGGATGACGATAGGGAAAATGCAAAAAACAGAAAATTGAAAGCAAAGAAGAGCATATTAACTCCTTAAACTCTGGACTTGTTATTCAGTTACTGATACTTAAATCATATAGTGCTGTAATTACACTGTTAGAAATAAAGGTGCTGTGTAGGTACATCTGTGTTGTAGGTACAACACTGGTTTTAAGGTCCAATTGTGAACCTTAAATAAGTTTTTTCCAGGTGAAAAGTACATATTTGTACCTTTTCATAACCGAATGTTTTAAAACAGAACAATAAAATAAAAAGCCTGGAGACGAGACGGGGTGTGTGGAGTCAATACAACTTAATTTCAATGGATTATGGTACAATTGGTACAATTATGTTCCCTGGCTGAAGGTACTGAGATGTACCCCTGAGTGTACCACCCCAGTGACCGTTTACTACCTTTTTTCTGAGAGTGTGCTATGAATTATTCAGTCATTATTATAATAATAAAAACAATTTTACAGTGAACACAAAATATTTCACAAAGTAGACAAAAAAACAACAATGTTGATGAAGCAACATTGCAGAAAATTAAGCAATGAGCCATGAAGCCGAACATTACAGTGATTTGGACACTTTTTACACACTTTATTTATGTACATGTTCATTTGACTAGGGGTCGGCAATATGACCATATTTATTGCTACTGTGATACGTTACAATCTACTTTTCTAAGCATAGTGTGGATATCGTCAGTATTGTCAGGCCTGTTTAAATGGATCTATTTCAGTGCTATATCTGAAATATTCAATAACGTTTTTGTATTTGTGATCATATTTTGAAAATGTATCACTACTGCTTCTTTTTTCTTTGTTACAACTTGTCATACCTGAGAAAAACAAAATACTGTGGTACGTATCGTATATTGACAAAATGTCTCGAAGCATTGTGATTTTATATTTGCGCAAAATAACACCCACTCCTGCATTTGACTCACCTGAATCATGTAAACTAAACGCACCATTTTTTCATGTAGTTCCGAGAAACAGGAGAGAAAATATGAACCTGCTGGCCAGTTCTTACATTTAAAAAAGTCAGGTTAAAAAAAAAGAGAGATGAGAAATGAGGAGGAAGAGAGTGTGTCAGAAGAAGAAGAGAGAGACGGGAAAAGAGAGAGAGAGAGAAAGAGGGGGAGGGTAGAGGAAGAATGCAGGACCGGTCTGTTCAAGGCTGTTTCAATAAAGATTAGTGATCGGCGTGCTGATGTGCTGCTTTCAGGCCGTGCTTTAATGAAGTGGCTGTGCGCTGCTGAGAGGGGGAGAAGAGGAGGAGCGCAGCGGAGGGAGGAAGGGAGGAAGCGACTGATGAAAGACGAGCGCGGAGGGAAGGCGGGAATGACGGCCGCAGCGCTGTTTGATCAGGAGGCCGTCTGTCAGCACACAGCCTTTACTGAACACGCTGAACACCGAACCATTTTATAATATCTGAACTACAGACGCTTCCCGCACAGAAATGAACGCTCACAATTCAGCTGGGCTTCTTACCTGTCCAGGTGCTCTGATTGGTCAGGACAAAAGCTCTGCACTGAGCGTGGCTCTCACAGACCCCGATGGCCTCACGGACGTCATAGACAGACAGCATGCATCCGTCGTGCTGATATGATGGCCAGCAGCGGTAGTTCTCTCCAGGAATCGAGGCGTCCACCACCCGTTTATATTCTGCTGGAAAAAAAAGAAACAAAGCATGTTAGATGAGGGGAAATATAGCAGTATGGGAAGATAACTGCTGGAAAAAATGATTGAAATCGGACAGATGTTCAGATTAAGATTAAGTTTGATGTTGTACGTTTCAAAATGTGATGTTCACATGCCAGTCCATATACGGAAACTAAAGCCTTGGGTACACTACACAACTTAAAATCTTAACAGATTATAAAAGACTGGGCATCTCACATTACCAGTTTTTTTTTTTTTGGACGACTGAAATATTAGATCACACACTACTCAACTTTTAAGCTGTGGCTGAAGCAAACATAATTCTAAACTCTTGTGAACTCTCGCAAACTCTCGCTTATTTCTCCCATTACTTGGAGGTCCAAATAAACAAACGGAGCGGCTCTGCGGATGCAGTAAAAAAGCAGCAGGCATATGTGTGTAAGTGAGGCTCATGGATTTGAAAATGTAATAAGCTGCAAAAAACTGTTTTTGTGATGTCGCTGAAAACAATTCATTTGCATATATTCACATATTCAGCCTACAGCAGTTTAGCCCTGCTCACGTCCATCTATTCACGCTGAAGTTAAAGGAGTGACGCACAATACAGGACAGCCTGTACATGTATCAGTCTTAAAGGCACAGTAACAGAAATCAGTTTCATCAAGGCATAAAATACTTTCATGTAAAAATGAACTATGACTGTTTTTGGTACATAAACACACACAAATGTCTTAAGTGAACATCAGATGAAAAATAAAATATATGAAAAATGTAGGGTATGGGCCCTTTAAGTATTGTATACAGTTATAATGAGCACTACGGGTGTAACACATATTTTCAGGTTTAATATGATTTTAATATGTGTTATCATGTTAAAAGTGTCTTCATTCTACAGAGATCTAATTCTAAACTACACAGTCTGGTTTGGCTCAGATACATATAAGATTTCAAACAGAATTTTTTCACCGCCTGCCGTGCCTGCACTCTAACACAATAATCTATCATAACCTCTAGAATTTAGCGGGTTGGAACAGGAAAAAAGGCCAATCATTTGCATGTGGATAAGCATAAGTCCTGCCCCCTCCCACCCATTTTACCCTGATAGGATGCACTCAGATGCCTACTTTTGATAATTAACAGTGGTTTCTATGAAAGACAGTAAATGAGAGACCCTAAAAAGAGACCGAAACTGTCTGAATTTTTTTGATACTGTATTGAAATTATTACAGTCAATACCAAAGTTCAGTCCATTAATTTTTTAAATACCACTTTGGTCTAAAGGAGCAGCGGAACACATGAGACTTTACAACACACAAAAGAAGAAAGTATTCCTGTATACAGAAAATCTTGTGTGCGCAGATCAATGCGTGGTTGCTACAGCACAGGACAAGCTCTCTCATTGTGTGAACTCGTTAGGAGTGTCTACAGACTGCTGTTGGTCTGTGCTGGACACAGAGACATTGTAAACGCCACTCATCGTGACCCCCGCCACAATGCGTCACCAGGCAACCACAGCTCGAGAACAGAAGAAAAGAAGATAAAGAGAGAGGAGGAGAAAGAGGCAGATAAAGAGATGTGAGGATGAGGAGCCTATAGAAAAATAAACTAACCACCCTCTCAATGCCGCCCACAGCGCTCTCTCCATCTGTTACCTCCCTCCTTCCCTGCTAACTCCCTCCATCTCTGCTAACTCCCTCAAAATGTTACCTGGTATTTATCCTGGCTATATCAGTACCTCAATAAATCCATTTGTCAACAGTCTTTTCTCTTACTGGATCTACTTTTTTTCAATACTGTCATCGCATTTAATTTTATCTGTAAAGAACATGTCTAGCCAAAACTTTAGACTGGGTTTACAGTGAGACTTTCATGCAACTTTGATTGCTTGAAACTTACAGCAACTAAACTGCACTTGAGTTGCATAATGTAAAGTGTCCTGCAACTCACTTGAAACGGAGTTGCAACAAATGCAAGCATTTCAACTTTATGGAACAAGTTTAATGAAACAGCCAATCAGGCCAACAGCACATCACATGAGCATGTCAAATGACATACTTTCTAACCATTGATTTCACTGGATCAGTATAAAACAGGAGACGTTTTACTGGGTGGATAAACAGAGACTGCACCCTCCCTACCAGTCTCAAGGGTGACACCTTTTCATCAGTTTCCTGAGCCATGACAACCAACGTATTTTCTCAAAGGTAAAGTAACAAGCTGTGTTAACCAGCCAGCTAATGCTAAAAGCTGTTTAACGGCTGCCTGTGCCATAGCTAGATAAATCTGCTCCTAGCTTGACACCTACTTTTACACTGAGCACAGACCCATTTGGGATCCAAAGGGTGAAAATTATTACAGACGAGGAGAGCGAGATGAGCTCCTCGATTAACTTCTTGTGCTTCTGGGGCAGGCTGACTGAAACATCAGGTAGGCTATAACTGTAATGGCTACTTAAACAGTACAAATAAAAAAAAAAATTAAATGTATAGTAAAAAACACTAGACAGAGAAGCTTTGTGTAACTGTCATGTTGCACTGCAATTATATTGTGGGCAACTCACAACATGCAACTAGTTGCATGAAAGTTTGACTGTGTAAATCGAGCCTTAGGCACGTTTAACACATACTTCTTCATCTTGCTTTTCATTTCTGTACAGTGAAATAAGCTATAAAAATGACACCAGAAATAAATATGTGAAAACAAAAAGGCTACAAAAAGGCAATTATCAAATGAAATAGCAGTTAAACATTTTGTGCTAAATACATATTTTCCAATAGAACTAAAACTGGGTAAACAGATGCAACATCTTTTAGAAAGTGTCTAAGCAAAGCAAAGTAACTGATTTGACTATTTCAGTGTAGGCCTGTTGGTCTGTTCCACACCATAAGCTCTGTATGATCAATGCAGTCACGTTGATGCATTGCTCATGTCGTGCACAGATAGTATGTGTGAAACATGCCCCAGCATAATGCAGAATGCTGTTCTGAATGTGTGTATGTCCAACCAGAAACTTTTACAGCGCATCCAACAATAAACACAGCATGGAGCTTTTTTATACAGTGATAGGAAACATGGCAGCATAAGATTAAAGATTGGGGTCGAATTAGCATTAGCAACAAAAATCATTTATTTGAACCCAATCTTCCTGAAGTCTCATCTCTCACTTCCAAGAGAAGGAATTTGTCTTCAGCCTGCTGCCGATGATGAATACACTGTGGGTCAACAGTCGCATTTGTCAAAGCAATAAAGTGGAGAAAGATTAGGCAGTGGTCTTAAGGATAATCGTTTGCTGTTCTCTTCTTGACCAGAGGAAAATATTCAGTGTATTCTGAAACATAAACCAAGAAAGAAAATCAAACAAGGATGGATGGTGGAGAAACAGGCCTCTGTAACTCGGCCAACACTCACATCAAACTGGCCATGCGGGCCAACTCTTAATGGCTGGATGCTGCACTAAATCATTGTTTTTTTTTTTCTAAAATAATGGAGAGGCTGTATGTTTCTTGTCATGGTGGTTCTATGTTTTCCACAGTGATCTTATTTATGCTGAGATACACAAAAGTGACCTGATATTAAAACTTTGTTTACGCAGAACTCCACTGTAATACACAGTTCACTGGAAAACCTCAATAAAGCTATGTCCACTCTAGACCACTCTACCTACATTCTACTAGAAGCTAAGAATGGCTTTACATGGTGAAACTTTCATGCAACTTGCGTGAAAGTTGCATGCAGTATAATTGTAATGAAGTTTGACAGATACACAAAGCAATTCAAAAACAATGAAAGTTGCACGCAACACATTTGAATAAACTGCTAGAGAGTCAAATTAGCAGCTCATATTTCTGATACACTGTATCGTTCCTAAAGTCACACACTAGGTGTTATGTACATATTTTTATTTTTGTTTTTAAATTGTAAATATATTTACTTATTTATATGGACTTCATATACTTTTTCCAGTTGTCATTTAGGTTAATTTTTCAATATCTATATTTCTACAATGAATCCAGGTATGCAGATCACCGTAACAGCAGGTTAAGAAAGAATAAACCATTTAAACAGCTGTTAGCATCAGCTGGCTAGTTAAGCCAGCTAGTTTCAGAAAGATTAGCTTTGAGAAACTCACATTCGTTTGTAGTCATGGCTCAGAGAACTGGCAGAATGAAAAACTATCAACCTTCCAGTAAACCATCTTCTGATTTATGTTCTTGTCCATTAATTCAGTGAAATAAATAGTTTGAAACTATGTCATTTGGTATAATCATGTGACACATCAGCATTTTGGCCATTTCATGAAACTTGTTCCACGAGGTTGCAACTTTTGTGGCTAAGTTTCAAATGAGTTGCACGACACTTTACATTACGCAACTCAAGTGCAACTGAGTTTCACATACATTTCAAGCAACTACAGTTGCATGAATTTTCTATATCCACAATCTCCACACAACACTGACGCATTTTACATGTTCCACATTCATTCTGGTTGCAAACCTAACGCTGCAGTTTCCTTATTAAGAGCACAAACTGTGGTTTAGATCTTCAGGCCACTGTGGAATTTAATGCTCTTCTGATCTCAGAACTGATCTTATCCATGCAAGACTCATTACACTGAACACAGCCTGAACGCTGGTCTACCACAGCGCAGCCATAAGTCATGTTTGTGACTGACACATTTACAGTGTACGATCTATTTTCTGCAATATACTTTGTCCAACTAAATGGTGGTGGAACAAACTCCGCTGGCTGTCTGAACAGCAGACTCACTCACGGTCTTCAAATGCCGACTGAAGACACATCTCTTTTTACAGCACTTAAGTGAGCACTAATATAAGTACTTATTGAAATGCATTGTATTGCACAATGTCTACTTCTGTTTCTTTTTCTATATGTATCAACACAGGATTTTTGTTTCTACAAATATTTGAGCTCAAGAGTAGCTTTTACTCTAACCCAGGAGTAAAATAAAGCTCTGCTGATCGCTTATAACACAGTTTTAGCAATAA